GCTGCACCAAACGCTGGCTCCAAAAATCGAACATTAAAACTACGATCGGTGTGAACAGGGACGATGCGTTTCGATGATTGACCGGTCGGTGTCACAGGTAACCTGAAATTTCATTCACATGTCTAGTTTTTCGACGTATGTTCGAAGGTGGCATTAGAGGATCTGTCAATTTAACGCGAACACCATGTAGCCGTGTCATAAATGGAAATTGTTCGCACGCGTCTCGAGGATACTCCAATCGATATGTCGAATATCTCGACTGATTGCTGGATACTGATCGGAGCATGTTATTTACTTTGGAGGTTAGGTTAGTTGTGTGGCGTTTGAAAGCAGGTCCGGTTTTCGGAGTTATCTCGGTTTTTCAATCAGGATCTAGTCTGATTATCTAGTTCGATTATTGATTAATTATCGCGGAACACGAGACATATCGATACTCGATTTTCGATCATTTTTCACAACGATTCAACGGAACGTTAACGATAGTGATTCGATGTGTATGTTCAACGGTAATACATTGTAAATCTGTGTTATTGACAAAATACGCAATTGAATCGAGTTCGAGCTGTTTATCATTTCGTTTTCTTCCTGGAAATGGCTCGAAGTTCCTATGGCCGTTCCGAGAATCCACTCGAAAGGGAATTTGTATGTATTTCTAACGAAAAGTCGACTGGCATATAAAACAGACGGAGAAAGCATCGGACCGGCTCGGTGAAATTCCTTCGATAGCGGGATACCGAATCGGCGAGCATACCGAGAAGTTGGCACCGAACGCACGAAGTTTGTCGCCCGGCTCCGCGCGAAAACATCGGTTCGCCGTGGATTTGTTGATTCAGACGAGTTTGGAAATCCTCTTAGGCACGATCTTACGTTACGATCGCATCTTGATCGTGAATCTTTCGTCGACTACAGGCACGATTACATTCGTGGCATGGCGCAGACTCGTTTTCCCTTCTGTCTTCCTCCCCCTCGTTTCCCTTCTTCCTTCTCGCCATTTTCTCTCTCTCTCTCTCTCTCTCTCTCTCT